TATCCAAAACCAGCTATAGTGCTGGCCGAGGCGCGGTGCCATCTCAGAAACCAGGTCACAGGTCTTCAGAGACCGGGAATCTGCTCTCATATCAGAAGCAAGTTTTACGGCCAAATCGACTTCCAAATAAACTTGCTGTAAACTTTTACGAGAAGGTTCCTCAAAGAGCCTCGCCAGTGATGGACACATTATTCATACATCAAGGCTGTGTTTCCACTCAGCCAAACAAACATCTGGAGGAAAACTTGCACACTTTCACTGCTTCCCAGTGTGTGCACGGTTGAGGTCAAGTAGATCCTGGCTAAAATTTCATGTCTTTATATTTGCCATTAATCAACCTAATTGGAAACTCACACTGATTACAGTGCTTTAAGGCTTAGGGAAGTTATGCAACCTGCATTGTGTCCTAAGACAGGGCAGGGTGTAAGCCCAGGTCTGTCTGAGACATCGTCTCCTTCCTTCCATCACATCCACTCAACAGTGACTTTGCGACTGGTGTTGAGGCACAGCGGTTGCCACCTGAAAAGCCAGCATCCCATATCGGAGTGCCAGTTTGAGTCCTGGCTGCCCCCTGCTAATATGCCTGCAAGGGTAGCAGCCCAAGTACTTTGGTCTGTCTCACCCACGTGGGAGACCTGGAGGGCTCTCTTGTCTCTCCCTCTCTAATGCTCTGTCTTTTAAAGTAAACAATCTTTTAAAAAATGATGTAGCCGGCAGATCCTGAAGAATGAATGACCAGTCTTTCAATACTTCCCACCCTGTCATGTTTACTTGAAGAAGAAACAAGAAGAAAAAATACTGACAGACTTGCCCTGGACTCACACAGCAGACAGACTGGTAATTGGGCCTCAGAGCGGAAACTGAAGAGCACTTTGAGAAAGGAGGCCATGCTTACCAAGTCCTCCAGAGTGTTACAGCCAGAAGACTGCTAAGCGTCATTAGGGCTACCTCTCCTCATTCTGACAGTACATTTCTACATTAAAAGAATCGGGAGAAGGGAAAAACCAGACCCAAATTCTCCAGTTTCAGTAACTGGGTGGCTTGCTTACATTTCTGCATTTTATCTACACTTGTTCTCAATGCTATCTCACACATTAAAAATGTAAGCTCTACTAAGCAGGCACTCAGATGTAAACACTGAGGCTTTTTCACAGGGATAAAGGCTCTGGTTTGGGTAAAGCAACCAGGAGTTTCTCACTGACATACCAGGCTTTAGTTGCGAGTGTTTCAATGTCTCCACCTTGTGGAAACCGTCAACCCTACATCAAAATAAGATGTTTCAAAAAGTTCATGGAAAAGGGAAGTAAAAGTTAACTTGTGGGGATACAGCCTCCACGTGCAACATTGGTTCCAGTCCTGGCTGTCCTACTTCCAATCCAGCTCCCTAGTAATGTGCCTGGACCCCTGCTACTCACATGTGAGACCCAGTTGGAGCTCTATACTTCTGGATTTGGCGTGGTGAGCTCGGGCCATTGCGGCCATTTGGGAAGTGAACCAGGGGATGGAAGTTCTGTCTCTCGTTCCCTCACTGTAACTCTGCCCTCCAAACAAGTAGATAAACACTTAAAAGAACACTTGTTTATTTTGGTACAAAATTTTGAAATATGTTTATACTTTTTTTTTCATAATATTCAGTTTCTTTTCTTTCTTTTTTTTTTTTTTTTGACAGGCAGAGTGGACAGAGAGAGAGAGAAAGAGAGAGAGAGAGAGAAAGGTCTTCCTTTACCGTTGGTTCACCCTCCAATGGCTGCTGCGGCCAGCGCACTGCGCTGATCCGAAGCCGGAAGCCAGGTGCTTCTCCTGATCTCCCAAGCGGGTGCAGGGCCCAAGCATTTGGGCCATCCTCCACTGCACTCCCGGGCCACAGCAGAGAGCTGGACTGGAAGAGGAGCAACTGGGACTAGAACCTGGTGTGCCGGCACCGCAAGGCGGAGGATTAGCCTATTGAGCCGCGGTGCCGGCAATATTCAGTTTCAACTAAAGTTTTGAAGCCCCTTCATGAGCACGGGTTTCAACTGTTTGTGTGTGCCAAAACAAGGAGGAACCTCTTATTTAGGCTTCAAAGGTTGGTCCAACAATAAAATAAAGTCTTTATTAAGGACACAGAAAGCTCAAAATAACCAGGCTTTTTCAAAGTATACAAAATGGGAATTTGTAATGGTAAATTTGAGGGTCATACTGGATACCAAGTCTTCTAAACAATTATAAAAAGATTAAATTATGTGCAACTCAGTTTTAGTAAAAGTTATAAGTTGTCTTGACTCACATGTGTGGAAATCTAGAAACAGAAAAAAGGGGCCAGCATTGTGGCAGAGCAGTTAAGCTGCTGCCTGTGACGCCAGCATCCCATATGATCACTGGTTCGAGTCCAGGCTGCTCCACTTCTGATCCAGCTCCCTGCTAATGTGCCTAGGAAAGCAACAGATGATGGCCCAACTGTCACCCTTCTGGAAGATCCAGATTGGAGTTCCAGGCTCCAGGTTTTGGCTTGGACCAGCCCTGGCCAATGAAGTCATTTGGGGAATGAACTAGTGGATGGATGATCTCTCTCTCTCTCTCTCTCTCTCTCTCTCTCTCTCTGTCACTGTGCCTTTCAAATAAGTAAAATAAATTCTATTGTAAAAAGAAAGAATTCCAATAAAAAAAAAAGTAAAAGAAATAGGCACAAAATCAAAGCAGCTCTACGGCTAAACCTTTAATTAAATAAAAGATTTCCAGTTAAATAGGTAGAACTAAGCAAAATTCAACTAATTTTGAAATAAGCTCTAGTAGTTGTGCTGTTTCCACGCAGCAGTAAAATGTGGGGCAAGATGGGACAGTATAGTGGTTTAGGACAACGGGCTTTGGCAACACCAGCTGTGGGCTCTGCCCTGAGCTACAGGGCTGTGCACGCGTTATGTAACATTCCCAGGCTTCAGGTTCCTCATCCACGAAACGGAGATTTCGATAACAACAAACTCAAAGGGTGCCATGAGGACACAACAGTATGTGTAAAGCACCCATCACAGCGCTTGGCACCTGGCAGAAGTCAGCGCTGTCAACTTATGGAGGCCGACACTGGCAGAGTGGGTAAAGCTGCAGCCCGTGATGCTGGCATCCCATACTGCAGTAATGGTTCAAGTCCTGGCCGTCTGCTTCTGAACTAGCTTCCTGCTAATGCACCTGGGAAGGCAGTAGAGGATGACCCAGATTCTTAAGCCCCTGTCACCCATGTGGGAGACCCATACGTAGTTCCAGGTTCCTGACTTTGGCCTGGCCTAGTCCTTGTTGCTATGGCCATTTATGGAGTGAACTAGAGGATGGAAGATCTGTCTTTCTCTGTCTCCTCCCACACCTTCCTTCCTCCTCTATGCTTTTCAAATAAGAAAAAAAATTTTTTTTAAACGATGAAGGGGTTGGCATTGTGGCACAGTGGGTTAAGCTGCTGCCTGCAATGCTGGCACCCATATGAATACCGGTTTGAGTCTTGGTTATTCTACTTCTGATCGAGCTCCCTGCTAATACACCTGGGAAAGCAGCAGACAATGGTCCAAGTGCTTGGGCACCTGCAGTCCTTGCATCCATGTGGAACACCTGGTTGGAATTCCAGGCTCCTGGCTTTGGCCTGGCCCAGGCCTTGCTGTTGTGGCCATCTGGGGAGTGAACCAGCAGAGTGAACCTCTTCCTCTCTTTCCCTCTCCCTTTTTTCCTTCTCTCTCTCTCTCTCTGTGCCTTTCAAATAAACAGATAAATAAATCTTTAAAAAATATTGAAAACACTGACTCCCCCTTGGGGTCTTGTTGACTATTGTTGTGGAAATGAATGCCTTGATTCCTTTATTTTATTTTTATTTTTTTTGTAAAGTAGTAAGGTTTTATTGGGGATAGGGTATCCATCAGAATGGAAGAGACAGATAGAGTGCCTGGTCACTTGGACTAGGGGAGAGCGAAGTTACATGGTTGAATAGAGAGAATACACCTGGGCAGGTCAGGCACGTGGCTCAGCAGAGAGCAGAGAGCTGAGCAGAGGCCCTGATTCTTGTTCTTGATTATTCTTATCTGTAATGCTCACTGCTAGAACGTGAGAGATGGAAAAGGCCTCAGGGAGCTTCTGGGCAATGAACAGATGAAGGTGTTTCCAGCAGGGAAAGAGAGATCTTAAACCTCACCTTTACACAGAATCTCAATGTGGAACTACAAGTTGGAAGCCAGGCCTCCTGCTATGCACCATCTGGGATTTTCCATCTTAAAGGATTCCCAGGCATCACTGCCCTGAACTTCATTTACAGGAAAAGCTGAAAAAGGAGGAGGTAGGCTTGTTCACTCACCAATCCCATGTGCATTAACCCAGCAATGCTTACAAGTGCCTGTGATGGCCATTGCCAGAGGTGGACAAGCAAGACCACGCTTCCTGGTGCATATTGTTGCAAGCAGGTGGCGCTGCAGAGATCAACACACATCAACTGCAATAGTTGTGGCTGAGAGATCAGCTGCAGCGTCACCACTAACACAGGTGATGGAGGTGATGAGGGGACGAGCAGGACTCACAAGGCCTGCACACTGCAAGGTGGAAGAGGTGCTGGTGGGCAGCAAGAAGACCTGGGAACTAGAACCCAGGCCCAGAAGGAGAGGACAGGAGCCGTGAGGCTGCCGAGTGCGCCACGGACAAGACTGAACGACAAAAGGACAGCAGCAGTGGGAGAGAGGGGGTGGGGGAGAACGATGTGGTCTAAAACGCAGGGAAGGGGCAGAGCCTTCCGGCCCAGGTAGGCTGCACCAAGAGGTCAGGAGTCCATGCTCACGGCCAGGTTTTCAGGTTTCTTTCCCAGTCTCACTCACGAGTTAGGGACCGAGGCTGGACGATCTACGTCCTGGCCTCAGCCCAGCGGCATTCCCCTCTACGCCACACAGCAGAAACAGATGCGACTGATCCGATCCCTTCTGGGGAACTTAAACCAAGCCTGTGCAGGAAAATCCAGCTGCCCCCTGCTCTGCAGAGAGAAAGAAGCCCCGGGTACTCACCCGCTCGTAATGTCATCAGTCCGGATGTTCTTGCTCAGAACATCCCCGTCGCTCATATAGCCGGGGGCGTCCACGCTGATGCCTTCCAGGTCCATGTCCTCCCCCGCCTTGTCGGACACGTCCACGTGGCAGATGCTGCTGCCCCTGGACGCCAGCTGCCTTCTCAGTGGCGCAGAGTACGCGCAGCGGCCTGACTCGGTGTTGATGAACCGGCTGGCGTTGGCCCGAGGTGGGTACCCACTGCCCATCGAGGGGGCGTCTCCTGCTTGGAGCCGAGGGCTGGACTGGCCAAGTCTCCAGGACAGAGGAGTGGGCCTCCCCGTCAAGCTGAGGATGCTACGGCCGCTTATCTCCGTGGTCACGTTGGTGTCAAATGTGGTTTCCAATGTGCTAAAAACACAAAGCCAGCCTCGGTTAGGCCCGCACGTGCCTGGCATCCTATGCATACTGTATGTTCTGTAAGGTTTTAGAATCCTGAAAAATTTCTCATATGTGAAATAGGATAAGACAACAGGGATTGATTTCCTTTGCCAGGCATGAAAAAAGGAAGCTGCACATATATGAAGCATTTCAAAACCCACAATGGAGACCTTTTCCCTTTAAAATATGGCACAAAGCCGGCGCCGCGGCTCAACAGGCTAATCCTCCGCCTAGCGGCACCAGCACACCGGGTTCTAGTCCCTGTCGGGGCGCTGGATTCTGTCCCAGTTGCCCCTCTTCCAGGCCAGCTCTCTGCTGTGGCCAGGGAGTGCAGTGGAGGATGGCCCAAGTGCTTGGGCCCTGCACCCCATGGGAGACCAGGAGGAAGCACCTGGCTCCTGCCTTCGGATCAGCGCGGTGCGCCGGCCGCAGCGCGCCAGCCGCGGCGGCCATTGGAGGGTGAACCAACGGCAAAGGAAGACCTTTTTCTCTGTCTCTCTCTCTGTCTCTCACTGTCCACTCTGCCTGTCAAAAAATAAATAAATAAAATAAAATATGGCAGAAGACACTCACTACCAATTACTTTCAGTACATGATCTTGACCGTTGGAAATTGCTTTCCAACCCAGGAAATGCTGAAGTATGGTCGATACATTCTGGGATACTGCATAACAGCTCCTTCCTCATGTGCAGGACACATGTGCCCACCTCGGAATTCCTAACACCGCACTGGATACCCGCAGCTCCCTCCTGACTAAGCAGGTATGGAGCGTTCTGATTCTCTCAGGACCCTTAAAGTCCATTTGCCCTAGACCTTTTGCTTCTTCCATATTTGCCCAAAAATAGTAAAAAGAGGAGTAAATGCCCGGGCCTGAGTTCCCTAATAACTGGAGTTACATGGGTGGGAATCTTGCAGGAAGAGCAGCTCCCCCCAGGTGCTGGCGAGATGCTCAGGCAGCCGAGCACCGCCACAGCCCTGTAGGCGCCTGTGCCCCTCAGAACTGCACTAGGATTTCCTGACCGAGCAATGACAGTGAGTCTGTCCTGCAGAGGAAACCACGGAAGCTTCCCCTCCCGCCATATTACTATCAGAGCTCAAGCCAAGCCATCCGTCAAACGGTGGTACTATGCTAAGTCAGTTTCGGTGATTACTGTGGAAGGAGGCGTGTTCTATTCCTAATCACAGGAAGCTTCCCAATTCCCTCTCCTCTGGAAGAGCCAGTCTAGGGCTAACAGTTGTTCTTCTTTCCCTCTGATCTTGGAAGCGATCTTGCTTTGTGCATAGAGGACTCGGTTCTGGGCCCTGGTCCTACTGGATACAACACCCATAGCGGTTAACTCCAGTCAGCCACCTTTGTTAACAATGGGCAGCCTTGTGGTCTCCTTGCCTTGCTCATTTATCAAAGAAACGAACTGGAGATGCAAAGGAGACTGCTTGGGAGTGAAGCGGGGGTACCAGGCCTTGACTTTGATTTTCAAAGCCAAACAAACTGTAAACCTTCATTCTCCCAAGATCAGGAAGGATATCCCAGGGTTGCTTCCTCCTAAACTTCTCGCTCAACCTTGACAAACGTTTCCAAAGTAATCCTAGACTTCATCCAACTAAATCATAGTTTAAACACGATCCTAAGATTTTACAAGTATTTCCTTATGTGTTACATGCACATGCATGACTAATAATGTTACACAGTGTGGCACGGCGAGGAATTCAAGTTATTCAATTTATCAAGCAGGTCAAATGCAGTTCGCTTGCTCATTTCTTATTTTTCAAAACATTTTTAAAAAGTATTTGAGAGGCAGAGAGACAGAGACAGAGAGAAGGCTCTCTTCTGTTTGCTGGTTCACTCCCCAGATGTCTGCTACAACCTCGACTGGGTCAGGCTGAAGCTGGGAGCGAGGAACACCACCCAGGTCTCCCGGGTCGGTGGCAGAGACCAATCACTTAGGACATCTCCTGCTGCTTTCCAGGGCCTGCATTGTGGGGAGCAATCCGGACTGGACTAAGTTACTGAAATTAAGACTTATTCTATGCATCTGCTCTCCCACAACATGGCGTTGGGAGAGAAGTAAACAGCTTCTGCACAGCTGCCTCCAGTTCAACTAATAAACTGTAGGACTTGCTCCTGATTGGAGGAGAGCAGCGTACTCGGCGTGTGGGCAGCCGAGTTGGGATTGGCGGAGGAGGACTATAAAGGAGGAGAGAGACGGCATGCACCGGGAACATCTAAGGGGAACATCTGAAGGAACACCTGTGCAGCCCCCCAGAGAGCCGGCCGGCGGTGTGCCGCTCCCCTGCGGAAGTGGGGAATGTGGCCAGGGGGAACTGCCCTTCCACGGAGGTGGAAGGGATAGTAGCCAACCCGGGAAGAACCAGCAGCAAACCCGGGGAGGGCCGAGCAGACGAAAGAACAGCGCAGGGTCCTGTGTTGCTCCTCCACGAAGAGGGGGAGCGAAACTGCATTATCAGAAAGCCGGAATCAGATGCCCAAGTCTGGAATTATATCCAAGTACTGCAATGTGAGACATCAGTGTCTTAACTACGAGTCTGCGTGTTTGCCCCCATCTGCTCGTTGCAACAGCAAAATATAGTTTGGGATAATGCAAGTACAGTTTAAATAGACCTGGTCGGGGCCGGCACTGTGGCACAGCAGGTTAACGCCCTGGCCTGAAGTGCTGGCATCCCATGGGGGCGCTGGTTCGAGACCCGGCTGCTCTACTTCCGATCCAGCTCTCTGCTATGGCCTGGGAAAGCAGTGGAAGATGGCCCAAGTCCTTGAGCCCTACATCCGCGTGGGAGATCTGGAAGAAGCTCCTGCCTCCTGGCTTCAGATCAGCGTAGCTCTGGCTGTTGAGGACCAATGGGGAGTGAACCATCTGATGGACGCTCGCTCACTCTCTCTCTCCTCTCTCTGTGTAACTCTGACTTTCAAATAAATAAATAAATCTTTAAAAATAAATAAATAAATAGAACTGGTCTATAATATCCTCCGTTGAATGCATTTAGCAATCTGCTGCTTTTGGGAGGAATCTGTCTATACTAATTTTTGTTCTCTGTACTTTTCTTCTCCCTGTTGTGTGGCATTCATTATGAATTTCAGCACTTTTGGGGAGCAAGGTTATCTATTTATCCCACTATTAACCAAATCAGTGGAGATCATGCGAGCACCCAGCTAGTCCAGTCACGGAATCCGTGCGGCAGGTACCTGTGTGTAACCTGAGTTCCCCGTAAACTGGACATGGTCTCCTCCAAATTCTGCCGCAGGTCAGCGATGTTCTTCACTGTCCGCAGCCGCCGAGCCTCGGGGTCTTCCCCTGGAGAGAGGAGGGTTAAGCCTCGATTAATCCTTGGACAGATCACAAGCTTCGTCAGAGTAGCAATCGTGCATTTGGAACCACGTTCCTGTTCAGTGCCTGGCTCACTGTGCATGCTGAAAACCGATATGAGAATAAAAGGATGCACGGGTGCCCAGAGGAAAGCGTTCAATCCAAGGAGGCGCTCCCTCCAGGGCCCTTCCAAAACAGGTGAGGTCTAGCCCATGGGAGAAGCAAAGCGCCCGGCGGGAGATGCAAACATATTTTCACACTGTCTTCAAAAAGAGACGCACAAGCTAGGTCCAATCGCTTCCCAGGAATCACCTCTTGCCCATGCAACTGTGAGAGGCACTCTGCTTTTTCACCTATAGGTGACACATAGGCAGCTGTGTAGAGGCCCCAGAGCTTGCAGTGGCTAAGAGCTTTGTACTTGTCCATCACGGATATTTCTACAGAAAGCGGTTTGCCTTCTTCCCTGTTGGCTGTATTATGGCATCATAAATTCTAGCTCCTCCACCTCCTGGCTGTGTGACTGTGGGCAAGGTGCTGGTCTTTTCTATCCCCGATTCCACATTCCTAAAACAGGTGTAGCAATAGCATTGCCCTTAAAGCACAGTTGTGGGGGACAGAATGGGCTAAAGCCTGGAGACCCCTTCTTAGCACGGTGCCCACCACAGGCCACTGAACCCAAGCCAGGGACCAAGGGCGTGGCTTCCGGGGTTGGGGGGCCTTGTCTTTCTTCTCGGCCAAGATTTTTCCATAGACACCTGGCCATGCACAGTTGGAACTGATGCTAACATGGCAACGAGAAACACACCACACCCCCAGCGGAGCCCACGTGGCTCTCAAGGCGGTCTTGCTCAAGCTCTCTGGCTGTTCTGTTTCATTTGGCCTTACGAGGGCAATAGGAGAGCAGCAGCCATAATAGCAATTACAGGAATCGAACACCCCCCACCCCCACCCAGAGTAATTTCAGGGAAGGCCGAGACGGAAGGAACCACACGCAAGGGTCTTTATTTAGAAGCCTGTGACTGTTTTCAAGTTTTGAGCAACACTTTTAAAGAAATCCGCACATAGACTACACATGGACCGACAATAAGTGTGACTTAGGTTAGGTACTAAGGAGAACTTCCAACGGCTGACATTAAAAGCACAACGGGCATCTAAGAAATGTCATGGAATTAAACTGCTCTTCTGAGATAGCCAACAGCTTCCCTAGGTTGTTCTGTATTTGGTGGTGCTGAGAGCCTGGGGGATGGATTAAATGACAGCTATGCGATTTTATGGGGGAAATTTACTGTGGCCCACTCTGTAATCTTGAAACTACAACTGTTTTCAATTTTCTTCCCCTTTGCAGTGCAGGGAAATTTGAAAGGCATTCTCCTCTTATCTGAAAAAGTGCTTAAACTTGCATTTCCCACCCAAGTCTTTAAATTACAGATATATACATAGGAAAGCAGTGATGAATGTCTATTCGACCTTCCCCTAATGGCCTGGGAGGAATGCAATTGCATCTACCTCCTGGGCCATCAATCAAACATCTTTTGCTGTCCCATTTTATCTAAGATGCCTAAAATGTACTGATCCCTCGGACAGCTGTAGGCCCTCGAGTACACATTTATGAGGAAATGAGGTCTAGACCCAGATTCTCAATTGACTTCCATCAATTAATGTAATCACACACAAAACGTATAAGTAGATGTATTTACCCATGTCTCTACCAATGACAGATTTGCCTGTTCCAACTCTCCCCTGGAAATTCAGAGATCTCTCAGATGGGGTAGTGTACAGTCTTTACTTTTGGTAACTCCCAGACAAATCTATAGGTACCTTTGAGAGAGTTACTGCCCATCAGGTGTTTGTTCCAGGCTGGGCTCACGGACTTTTTTTGTTTTTCTTATTTTTTGACAGGCAGAGTAGACAGTAAGAGAGAGACAGAGAGAAAGGTCTTCCTTTTACCATTGGTTCACCCTCCAATGGCCACTGCGGCCGGCACACTGCGCTGATCTGAAGCCAGGAGCCAGGTGCTTCTCCTGGTCTCCTATGGGGTACAGGGCCCGAGCACTTGGGCCATCCTCCACTGCACTCCCGGGCCACAGCAGAGAGCTGGGCTGGAAGAGGAGCAACCGGGACAGAATCCGGCGCCCTGACCGGGACTAGAACCCGGGGTGCTGGCGCCGCAGGTGGAGGATTAGCCTATTGAGCCACAGCGCAGCCTGGGTTCAAGGACTTTAAACATCCACAGATAAAGATTTGAATCCCAGCATTCCAATTTACTGGCCACTTGACCTTGGACAAGTCACTTACCCTCTCTCAGTCTCATTTGTAAAACAGGGCTAACAATCCTCCCCGGAAGAGTCCATGTGAGACCCAGATGAGGTGGCACAGAGGATGTACCCAGTACAAAATCAACAGGAGGTGTCCTGTTTTCCCTGTAAATGTCAGTGCCCTGCTGCCCTCTTTGGCACCCCATGGGGAAGTGTCTGCCCCCTCTCAGAACCACCCTACAACACACAAGGGCACATCCCCAGGCTGGTGCTGAACTCCACCTGCCACCTTTAGGCACCCACACTCTGAGGTGCCCACCTGGTCTCCTTGCACAATGGCCCAAATGTCAGACCTACCCATCAACTCATAGTCAGAACCAAGTCAGAACATAGCCAAGCACCTGTGGAGACAGCAAGGCCCTTCTGCTTGCAGGAGACATGTGAAACATCACGGAAGCTAGGCCATAGCCACCTGCAGCAGTCTTAGCTTGTCAAGAGCAGCTGTCAGCTCCGGACACTGGCTGTGAGTAGGAGACACCGTGTTCTGAGCAAACCTGACACAGTCTGCAGGATGCTGAGGTGTGTTACAAAAGGAACAGTGGGAGGAACCCGGGGCTTTTATTTGGAAGAAGGCTGAAGGCACGTGCTCCTACATGGACAAGAATGGGAGCTGTCCACAGGCAGTAAGAGGTCAAGTTGTATTCAGTGACTGGAAATACGAGAATAAAGAACTGTGTTATCTGTGGAAGCCAATAATGATAACACACGGACAGGCTGCCTGATGTAGAATCAACCTTCCAGTTTTAAGAAATATTCAAGCACAGACTAAAGACGACACATCCACAGGCTGCAGAAGGGCTGCATGGACTGAATGATAAACATGTGTGCGTGTGTGGTTTCTAATACCGCTATAATCTGGGAGGTAGTTCTCAACTGTGATGCCACGTGCACGGCAATGCATCACAGGAAAATCCACGTGTGTGCACAAGCACAAATCTAAGCAGTCGGTGAGACACTCACCATTCACCGGCATTTCATGGGTCCTTCAGGACATAAGTCAAGTTCAACCTCCTGACACTATTCTTTAAAAAAAAAAATTCCCCATACAGTCACACATGTGAGTCCTCCTGCATGGACAGAGTCACCCTGGCTAAGGAATGTCCGTCAGCAACGAGCACCATGGAGCACCACTGAGGGCAAGATCAGGCCCCCGGGCCACACTGGTCTGTGGCCTGAACCAACCAGCAGCATCTCCAGCTGCAGTCCTGGGGCCCAGCAGTCATGGGAAGAGAAAGAGAACTTAGTGGCAGATCGCAGGCTGCAATCTGTCAGCGATGAAATGTAATTAATATCCAGGGTGTCCTCTGACAGTTTTGCTTTTCAAGTGTGGATTGTACCGAGACGCACTGTCTGCCGTGAATGCGCACTCCTCCACAGGACACACATCTCATCCGCGCTGCGCTCTTTGATGTGTGCACAGGAGAACACGATCCGGGGTGTATGTGGAGACCCGAGCAGTCATCTGAACCCCACACCCTTCTCCTCCTTTCTGGCCCCTTTCCTGTGCTATCTGTGGACTCAGCTATACAAGGCCCGCAGAGGAGGAGATACAAAATCAATTCCAAATGTGCGGCCCTGAACCATTCTTCTAAATGGATCACTTACGACTGGCTTGAAAAATCTCTGTGCCATCACGATGCCTAGCCAGCAAGGGAACCAGAAGGAAACCGTTAAATCACCCAGACCCTCTGAAATGAATACTCAGAGAACAGCGAGATAGGTAAGATTCAATGACACAGGCTGCAGACCAATTCCACAGCTGCAATGGTGCCCTTGCAATGGTGTGGGCATGGATCGTCAGTCTAATCAATGGATTTTAAACATGGACTCAATTTTTTTTTTTTTTTTTGACAGGCAGAGTGGACAGTGAGAGAGAGAGACAGAGAGAGAAAGGTCTTCCTTTGCCGTTGGTTCACCCTCCAATGGCCGCTGCTGCAGCCGGCGCACCGCGCTGATCCTGGCAGGAGCCAGGAGCCAGGTGCTTTTTCCTGGTCTCCCATGGGGTGCAGGGCCCAAGCACCTGGGCCATCCTCCACTGCACTCCCTGGCCATAGCAGAGAGCTGGCCTGGAAGAGGGGCAACCGGGACAGAATCCGGCGCCCCAACCGGGACTAGAACCCGGTGTGCCGGCGCCGCAAGGTGGAGGATTAGCCTATTGAGCCACGGCGCCGGCTCTGGACTCAATTTTTAAACCAGTTCTGGAAGTGATAAGATGGAAGAGTGACACAGCCTCTGCAAAAATGGGGTCCACTACTCTCTTCCCTGATTAAAGCTGCCGGAGCTCAGGGCAGAGAGTCTGGGATGGGCAAGACAGAGAGAGAAGGCAGCAGCCTGGGGCACACAGTGGCAGAAACTCTGACTCAGGTGTAACTTTTCTTCTTGAAAATACAAAACCTGACAGTAGACAGTATAACATCAATAGGTTGTTTTTTTGTAAAGATTTATTTTATTTATTTGAAAGACAGTTACAGATAAAGGTAGAGCCAGAGAACGAGAGAGAGAGAGAGAGAGACAGAGACAGAGACAGACAGAGACAGAGAGGTCTTCCCTCTGCTGGTTCACTCCCCAAATGACCACAACAGCCAGAGCTGGGCTGATCTGAACCCAGGAGCCAGGAGCTTCTTCTGGGTCTCCCACACAGGTGCAGGGGCCCAAGGACTTGGGCCATTTTTCTACTGCTTTCGCAGACCACAGCAGAGAGCTGGATCAGAAGAGGAGCAGCCAGGACTCAAATCGGTGCCCATATGGGATACCAATGCTGCAGGCCAGGGTGTTAACCTGCTGCACCACAGCACCGGCCCCTTAAGAGGTATTAACATGTGGAATTAACCACATGACAACTGCAAATTTTTTCTCTTTATATGCACGGTATCCATGTAATCATCATCGTTTAGGTGCTATTTAAATAAAATTTAGGTTTTTTTGGGGGGGACAAAAGAAGCAATGTTATAATCTTTCCAACTAGCAGAGGATTCTAAGAACACATTTTTCATCAGTGCTTCCATAGAGGAAAGAGCAAAAAAAAAAAAATCCAATATTCTTAAGTTCCAAATCTTGACGAAAAGGAACTTGATAAGAAAAATAAACAAGGAGATTCAAAGTGAAGGGTCCTGAAATAAATGAGGTTCAATGTATTTTTTTTTTTTTTTTTGACAGGCAGAGTTAGACAGTGAGAGAGAGAGAGAGACAGAGAGAAAGGTCTTCCTATTCCATTGGTTCAGCTGCGGCCAGCACACTATGGCCGGCGCACCGTGCTGATCTGAAGCCAGGAGCCAGGTGCTTCTCCTGGTCTCCCGTGCAGGTGGTGCAGGGCTCAAGCACTTGGGCAATCCTCCACTGCACTCCCGGGGCGCAGCAGAGAACTGGCCTGGAAGAGGGGCAACCGGGACAGAATCCGGCGCCCCGACCGGGACTAGTTGAGATGCCTGATGGGTTTGCGTCCAACTTCTGGCTCCCGTTGCCAGCTTCCTGCCAATGCAGACAACAGCAGGCAGCACTGATGGCTCAAGTCAATGGGTCCCTCCACCCACCTGGGACTCCTGGGCTGAGATCCCAGCTCCCAGCTTTGGCCCAAGACAGGGACTGTTGCAGGGATCGGGGAGTGAACCAGTCGATGGGGCTCTTTCTCTTTCTGTCTCTAGCTCACTCTGTCCCTCTGCCCCTCATCCACACCAACAAGTGCATTTTTCAAAAAGGTAACGAAGAAAATCAGCTTGTTTCGCTCAGCACTCAATGCAACAAGCGGGGATGGTGCTTATTCAGCAAGGGGTTGCATAGGAGGCCCGGAACCCCTGGGGCTCTGTACTCACCCGTGAGCTCTTCCAGGGCAGGCTGTCCACTCTTGGTGTAGTGGCTGGGCTCCAGGCTCACACCCGCTGAGCTGGACTCGGCAGTCACATTCCCTTCGGTGTCCGTCTGGGACCTTCACACACAAACCAAGGCAGACACATCGGTCACCAGGGGCAACGGGCACACTTGGACCACTGGGGTCTGACCACAGCACCCATCACCACCTCCTTCAGCCAGAAGCTTCAGGACAGAGCAGACCCGCCGACTGGCGCTCAGCAAGGCATCAGCCACAGGCGGAGCAACTCCGGAGAACAGAGAACCACCCAAGAGGGAGAGACGGAATATTCATCGCCCAAATGGAGGCCCTGTGACCCCTCAGTGGGGAACACGTCTCTGAACGCCCACTCGGTGAGCAAGGTCTAGCCAGACATGTGCAGGACGGTACAGGATGGCTGGATGACTCCACCTGTGCCAAAGAGCAACTTCTAAGCAACCAGCAAAGCCAGCCAGTCAAGCAGAAAGATAACTCCGCTGACAGCTTCCAGGCGCCCCTCCCCCACCCCCGCACCCTCCTGACGTGGCTCTCTCTGAAAAGGTGACGGTGAAACCGGCTGGGAGCGGGTGCCAAGCAGGTGTGCTTGCCTCCAGGTCTCTGATTCAGAGCTCAGATCTTTTGACATGAAAGGTCTCACGGATCATCACTCTTCTTCTGACATTGGACTTCCCCAACCCTTCTCCAGCCCTTATTTGTCAAGCAAATTGAGGCAACAGCTTCACGCAATATTTTTTTGCCACAGTTACCTTTGCTCTCTCAGGCATGGCATGCAAATGCATAATTACACTCAGACGCACAGCTCTGTGTGCAACATTAACTCATTAATTAGCATCCCGAGCTTATTCAACCAGATTTCACTACCTATGAAATCAGTGTCTGCCAAGAACGGGGCTAAGGGGGTAGACACTGATAAACCTCAAACCATGCACCTACTGGTCCATCCTTTGTCCTCCCACAGAGGCTATCTGTTCCCAGTGCCTGCAACGTCTGCCTTCGGTTTCCCAGTCCCAGGGTTACTCTCCAGCCCGAGGCCCGCGTCCAGACCTCTCAGTCGCTCTGCCTCAGCCCCCTAAGTGCTTTGAAACAGCTCTGCCCTCTCTCCCCTGAAGGGTGCAAAGGGCAGCCAGGTGTAGGAACCAGCCCACAGATGTATTCCTATTGGTCACCAGGGGCAACGGGCACAGCTACTGAGCCACAGACCCTTGGCCTGCTTAGCATTTCCGCATTTTTGAATTAGTTCAGTATTTAAAAATTGGGAGATTGCTCAAGGAATATCTGGATTTCTGCCTTCTCCCAGGAAAAACAAACCATCCTGGAAAGATTGAGTGCTTGTCCCTGAAAGGTGCCACCTGCTGGTGCAAGGGGGTGCTGCACCCTCTAGAGCAGCCGTTAAGACACTTAACCCTCGGGTCCAAGCAGGCTTCTGAATCCGGGATCTCCATTCCATACTCTTCTTAAGTCCGGTCTGCTGTCACCCCCGATGTTGGTAATACTGCTGTGATAACATCACCCTGTGATTAAAGGCCACCAAACGTCTCCATCCACAGAACAAGGCGCAAACTCTCTCCTGTGGCAGGTGATGTCTTGGACTCTGGGATTCTTCCTGCCTTGATTTCCCGCCCGTCTCCTGCCACTCCCAGCCTTTGTGCACAGCCACCATGTACGCCTCACCCACAAGTAGCTTCTCTCCACTCCCAGATCACACCTCCGCCTGAAGGCCCTTCTCTGTGTTCTTCCTCGGTTTGCTCGCCATCTGCTTCATGCCACAGGTGTGGCATCCGGGCTGGAAGCCTTCCCTGTCTCTGTCACCTCCACCTCTCAGAGCTGAGTTTCTAAGGCAGCTCCAGATGCTCTGGTTGCCTATTTATCACCATGTGATCTAACTCACCCCAACCAGATCCCGGGCTGGCTGAGGCTAGTTCAGATTCACACACAGGGCAGGTAGGTACTCAAGTAGGGTGTGTGCATGGGATAAATAAATGAGATGCTGCAAAGAATGTTAGACGTGGAGTCTGCGTGTTCAGCTTCAGCTTGAGGGTCCGTGGCTCAGTAGCTGTACAAATCAAAGTCAGTTCACCTCTGTGAACCTCAGTGTTGTCATCTGTTCAATGGGGGTGCTGATTCTAACTCTAAAGACACTAGAAAAATCAAACGTGATGCGGCACGCTGTGAAGTAACAGAGGTGGCAGCTGTTACTTCTGAACAGATCAACAGAATTCATTTCAGATGGTTTTTTAAAATGACCTCTCTCCCTCTTCTCCTTTGGTAGCATCTTTAGCACTGACAAATTCAAGATGGAACATTCCAAGTTACAGACAGGGAGCCATGAACTTGAGAGAGACAATTTCAGAGCAGGAAGGGAACATGAGCCATTTTTTTTTTTTTAAGCTTCTAATGGAATTCAGTCTCTCTGCTTTACGGATGAAGACAATGAGGCTCAGCGAGACAAAGCCATTTAGAGATTTTTTTTTTTTAAACAGGCACAGTTAGACAGTGAGAGAGACAGAGAGAAAGGTCTTCCTTTTTCCATTGGTTCACCCCCCAAGTGGCCGCTACGGCTGGTGCGTTGCGGCTGGTGCCCTGCACTGATCCGAAGCCAAGAGCCAGGTGCTTCCTCCTGGTCTCCCATGCGGGTGCAGGACCCAAGGACCTGTGCCATCCTCCACTGCACTCCTGGGCCACAGCAGAGAGCTGGACTGGAAGAGGAGCAACCGGGACAGAATCCGGCGCCCTGACCGGAACTAGAACCCGGGGTGCCGGCGCGCCGGCGCCGCAGGTGAAGGATTAGCCTAGTGAGCTGCAGCGCTGGCCACTATTTAGAGATTTAAGACACTATGGGTGGGGCCGATGTTGTGGTGGAGCAGATAAAGCCATCACTTGTGATGCCAGCATCCCCTGTGTCTGTGTCCCCGCTGCCCCACTTCTGAACCATCTTCCTGCTAATGGCCTGGGAAAAGCAATGGAACATGGCCCAATTTCTTGGGAGAATTGGATGAAGCTCCTGGCTCTTGGCTTCAATTTTGCCCAGTTCTGGCCATTGTGGCCATCTGGGGAGTACATCAGCAGATGGAAGATAGATATCTCTCTCTTTCTCTCTGTCTCTCCCTCTCTCTCCATAACTCTGACTTTCCAATAAATCTTTTTTTTTTTCCTTAAGAAGATAATATGGTGGCCAAGAGCCCAGTTCCTGCAAGACTCAGGCTGAGCTAGGGGATGCTGTGGCTGACAGCTCTGTGACACACAGCAAGTTGGTGAATGACTCTGCGCTTCAGTTTGCTCATTTGCAGAGTGGGGATCTAAAGCGTATCTAACTCATGGAGCTAAGACACGGAGGGCCCTTAGCACACACAGGGTGCACACTCCATAGCTGGTCCTGTGGTCAGTGCCCAGGACCACACAGGGCGTTGTGGGCTGACCAAGGCCCAGGCGCGCTGGCTGTCCACCAGGTACTTTCCTTCCAGCCTCTCTTCCCCGGCTCACCCACCGAGGGAGGCCCCTCCGAGACATCACCCAGCATGAGCACAGACATGAACACGGAGCCTGACACATCCACATCGGGGATGGTTTCTCCCGACTCTTACTTGTCACAGATTTGCCCTTTATCATTTTCAGCTTTTCCTCTCATGGAAAAATCTTGAAATGAAAAAAAGGAGCATGAATGTTTTATAAACTTTCAAATGATTAGAGCTGAGAGAGAGAGAGAGAAAGGGGGGGGGGAGGAACAGGATGGCTGGTGATCAAAGACTGGCCTATATTTTAATTTGGAAAATGCAAATCAAGACTCAGTAAAGAGCAACTTGAATGTGTAATGCCTCCAGAGCACGAATGCTTTAGGCACTGTAAGAGTTTCATGGAGAGCAACTGTAAAAGCCACGCGTGTAGGAGCACTGGGTCATTCGCTGTGCCATGGCGCTCTTCTCACCACGGTTAGCTGAGCTGGTGACTTGGTTTCATAAAATGATGACCGTGTCCCAGTTAAACATGCGGATGTGACCCTCCCTAAAGCGGAGGGCAAGCAGGAGGAAAGGAAGGAGGGACTGGCTGGGGACTGCTGGCTTCGTTCTGAAAGTGCTCATGCCTTTCTCACCAGCCACTGGCAGGAAATGCCAGAGCCCCCTGGAGCACGTCTCAGGCAAGCAGAGGGGGAAGCCACACATATGCAGGAAGCTGAAAGGATGGGCGGGAGTCCAGGTACCTGAACAGGTAAAGATATGTGAGCATGCGTGCATCGCACGCTATAAGTGAATGCAGACGTGCGTCCACACTTCCCTGTGACTGTGGGTGCATGTCCACACATGTAGCTGTGTCACTGTGTGCACAACTGCGCATGAGTGTGCACTTAGGGTAAGGGCTGTAAAATGAATATCTTGCATACAGCATTCAGTCCTCAGTGCCCTGGTGCTGTGTACAAGTATCAGTCCTTCACCTGGGCAGCGTGGAACGTGCACACACAATAAGATCTCCCAGAGTGCTGTAAGCCAGAGCTCTGGGCCAGAGCAGTGCTGGGGAGCCCCCATCTGCCTGGAGGGGGCTCATCCACAGGCACCTGCAGCCAAGGTGCCTCATTCTGCGGAGGGGTGTGGTGCAGGCTGAGCAAGCGGTGACCCTCACAGCCCAGGGCCACCAGGTCCCCAGCAGTCCTCAGGGTGTGCTAGGGGAGACTCGGGGGTAGAGGACACAAGAGGGCACAAGGCTCATCTCCTAGTTACAGCACAAGGGCTCCTTGCTCTGGAACTGGCCCCTCCCTTCCCACATTCATCCTCCTTGCCCTCCTGGGGGGCTTGGCAGCAGGGACTGTGGGAACCTGGAGGCTCAAGGCAAACATTACCTTGGAGCAAGGGGGATTCTGTGCTTCCCTTCAAGTACATCTAGGATGCACTCTGGGTGACACCTGCCTGGGGAGCTCCTACCGGTCCTGGGGTCAGGTCACCATCTACTCCCCTCTCCTCGGTGCTCACTGGCCCTCCACCAGCCATGGCCCGGGCACTGACCCCTTGAGCACACCGTGTGTGCAAGTGGTGCCTCAGCCCCGTGCTTGCAAGGTCCCACAGGGCAGTCCACATGCGTGTCCCCCTGGCCCCCAGAGCCAGCAGACGGGCGGCCTCTCCTACCTGTACAGGAAAGGCGCGACTGTGGCAGTGTTGGGGTGGCTGTATTGCTGCTGGGGCTGAGGTAGCTGAACACTGACAGTATTGCTTCCCGTGGTCTGGGTGGTCCCGACGGACCCGCTGACAGTCTGGCTGCTGATGCTGTGGTTCAGCGGGGTCCCTCCCGGGCCTTTGCCCTCCGAGGAGGCCAGGCTGGAGGAGGAGCTGGAGTGTCTGCCGTCCAGCTGGGGCTTGGGCGGCGGGAGCCCCGAGTTCGGCTTCCCGCTGCGGCTGCGCTCCCCTTCCTTGGACGGCGCAGGGGCACTTGGGGACTTGCCGGGTGTGCTCTTCATCCCCGGTTTTGGTATCCCACTGTGGGAAGAGGCCGTGGCCTCCTTCTTGGCACTGCTGAGCTTGCCCCCTTTGGGGATAAAGCTGGCGATCTTGGAGGACTTTTTCGGCATCTCGGTCACGACCGCACCGCTGGGCTCCTCCCTGGGCTCCTCCCGGAAGTCCGGCCTCTCGGTCACAGACGCCCTCTTGGTGAGGTCCCTGCCTTTCTCCTTCTCCTTCTCCTTCTCCCGCTGCTGCTTCTCTTTCTCTTTCTCATTGCCTTTCGGGGAACTCTTCTTGTTGGTCAGCGCCCGGCTGAAAGTCCTCTGGGCGATGCCCTTGAGAGCAATCTTGGGGCTGCTGGACGCGGGGCCCGCGGCCGAGAGCGCGCGGCCAGCAGCCTCCAGCTCTGCGCTCTCTTCAAAGCTGGGCAGGATCTCCAGGCGCTCACAGCTCGTGTCCCGGGAGCCCGGGCCCTCGCCTGCCTTGGAAGCCCCTTTACTGTTGAAAAGCTTTAGCTTTTCCAGCATGGATTTCTGATTGTTGGGGGCTGGCTTCACGGCCTCGGGCGTGGGCCTGGGGACCTCGGGCCCGGACGGCTTGACCGAGAGCATGGACGATGTGGCGCTGTGCTTCACGCTGAGGGACTTGCTGCGCCACGGCTTGGAGGCCACACCGGGCTGGGGGATGGCAGAGGAGGTACAGCTAGCGGGGCTGGGGCTGCCGCTGCTCTCCAAGGAAGCGGGTACATTTTCGCTCATCCCGGGCTGGGAAGAGATGGAGCTTGCCAATGGCTCTGCAGAGAGAGAAGAGAAGGAGACCTGAATCCCATCGGCTGACCTACATTGAAGATTGGGGTCTGGGCCACGGACACTTAGCCCATCACTCCCAACTCACACGTCCGTATCTGCCTTGTGGGTTACCTGTGGCCAAATTGTAAATCCCAGCTCAACTCCCTCCTTCCCTGTATCACATAGCATTCACACCTCTCCTAGACACAATTTGGTGCTATGCACTGTGCACAGGCACGCGTACCTTAAATCCGAATTAACATGCAAATCCACAGAAAAGCAAACCGACAAAAACGTACAGCCCTATGGCGGTGGAAGAAATGCATAGGAAATACTTTCCTTTCTGAATTACTCAACCCACAGCTGCACTTCCCAGTTACATGAAAGAATCAAGAATCTTCCAACGGGGCTGGGTGTTGTGGCGCAGTGGGTTAAGCCACAGCATGTGATGCCGGCATCCCACATGAACACCAGCTTGAGTCCCGGTTGCTCCGCTTCCGACCCAGCTCCCTGCTAATGTGCCTGGGAAAGCGGCAGCAGATGGCTTCAACGCTTAGGCCCTTGCCACCTATGTGGGAGATCCGGATGGAGTTCCAAGCTCCTGGCTTTGGCCTGGACCAGCCCCAGCCGCTGTGGTCATCTGGGGAATGAACCAGCAGATGGAAGATCTCTCTGTCTCTCCCCCTCTCTGTGTCACTCTGCCTTTCAAATACATAAATAAATCCTAAACAAACAAGGATTATCCAACTTTTAAGGAAATAATATAGCAGAAACATTCAAATAAAACAGATCCCTAAAAAGCAGACAAGGAGAAACCAAGTACAATCTCTAGAGAATATTCCATAGAAGTTACAAAGTCCTACCAAAGCATGGGAGTTTTCATTAGTACAAACTTGATTCGGGCAGCACTTTTTATAAAAAGAAAGGCTTTCCCTTTTCTTCTAAGAATACATGGTGTGCACACGACTTCCCCGCAGGCGAGAAAACACGCGAGTTACTGCAAAGACAAGGCTTCCCCCTGGCGCTCAGGGGGTGTTTTCCTGGTCAGGCTCTTTTCTCAGAAAAGCCTTGAGATATTTCCAAACCGGAGCCAGGAAGATTCCGGGCAGGGCGGGCACCAGATCGGGGTTCTGCTGGCACCGAGGTGCCCCAGTATCCCAGAAACGAAGCCTGCAGCACCGGGCTCCCAACACAGCTGCTGGAGAGGGTGTCAGGGAAAGGGGCTGCAGCTGAGCCCGGTGCCCACGTCCACCCACGCCCATGCGCTGTGAGTGCAGCACACGGGTTGCACCCCTCTGGCCCCCTGAAAGCACATCTGCAAAGTCGCAGGGACCGACTTACCGAGCAGCAGCCACTTTCTCCCTCGGTGATTCCCTAGGAACAAGCCTGCAGCCGGAGACGCTGCCCTTCCGATTGTCACAAGTGTTTTCGGTTAAACTGCTCATGTTTCTAATTAACTTTTGTCATCCACAACTACTCCAGTGCCCAGAAGCCTGGCGGGATTAACGGCTGCTGCTTCTCCTTTTTTTTTTTTTTTTTTTCTCCTTTTCCCCTAATACCTATGTTCCGCTGCCTTCCAGCAACAGAGTAAACTGTATATAGAGCGGCTTTTTATGATTTAAAAGTCAACGGCCGCTGCGGCCGAGTGAAGGCAGCCCCTGTGTGGGGCGCGAGCACCGAGCCGCCAGCTCCGTGTGGAGGAGCTGCCTCCTCTCTCCACGGCTGCTCGGGAAGCCTCAGCTCCAGGGTGATCCAAAGCAGACCTCCCAATGTTTTAAGACTCATACATCTTCCTGCCTTCCTGGGGATTGGGTTTGGAGATCCTCCCTGACAAAACGCACGGGGAGTTGCTGGAGTTTTTCCTGGGGAAGACTCACAGACTGACTTGCAAACAGGCTCACAGAAGCCATGCACGCTGCTGGCCGGCTGAGGGTCTCCAAGGCTTGACGCTGCCCACCCGAGGGTGAAGAGGGGCTCACTGTCCCTGTTTCAGCAGAGAGGAAGCTGAGACTCAGGGGGCGCTAATGTGGGACCCCACGTCACATGGCTGGAAGTGGACCCAGGTGGGATTTGAACCCAGGTCTCTGCCAGAGAGCGCTTTGGGACTACATCACAACTGATGAAGAGTCCGTATGCACAATAGTCCCTTAAACTATCAGGGCACTTTTCAGGCATTGCCTTTTTGAAAAAAGATTGATTTGATATGACAGGCAGAGTGACAGAAAAAGAGAAAGAAACACTTCCTATCAGCTAGCTCATTCCCTAAATGGCTACAATAGCCAAGGCTGGGCCTGGCTGAAGCCAGGAGCCTGGAGCTCCATCTGGGTCTCCCAGATGGGTGGCAAGGACCCAAGCCCAAGCACTTAGACCATCTTCTGCTGCCCTCCCAGTAGCATTAGCAGGGAGCTGGATTGGAAGTGGAGCAGCTGGGATTTGAAACGGCACTCCAAAATGGGATGCTGGGTTGCAGGTAGCAGCTTAACTCCAGGCACTGCCTTTTGCTACTAGCACAAGCATGACCTCTGTGGTGGTCACAAGCCAGCCCTGCCAATGGGAAGGAAGCAGAACCCATAACAGGGGGTGGCTCTCTGGCTGAAACACCAGTGACCAAGTGCCATCTCTAAGGATAACTGCCGTTCCCCTTACCTGGGCTCAGAGCTGGGACAGAAGTCAAGCACTCGCCCACTCAACACATTCAACATAGTCATCCATCCATATACTCAGTCATCCAGCACCTAATGTATGCCAGACACTGTTCTAGGTACCTGGGGCCCATTGGTGACAAAAAGAAATGCAGTCCTCTATTTTCAAGGGTTTTCCATCCCAGCAAGGAGGTACTGGAGGGAGTTCATTTCATAGATAAATTACTTGTTGGGAAATAAAGCTAAGGAAAAGTTAAGGGGACCTGGGAGCAGGTTGCAACATGGTCCTTGCAGGAATTGTAAGCTCACACCCAGAGGGACACCCTTGCTTCCCCAAAGAAGTCTGAGCATCGCCACCAAGTGTACGTGAATCAGTGTGACATCGCGTTTAAAACTCCTCTGAGGTTTTCAGAAACAGTTTTGGCAACATATGCCCCCACCTACCATTGCTGTGCATTTGAAACCCTCAGAACCACAGCTAGAAATGAAGCAACAACCAACTGGCTAACAACCAACCCAGTGAAAAAGACACCTGGCTTGTCTTGAGTGAAAGAGCCAGAGTCGCTGAAAAGTATGTCTCCTTCAGCGAAAGGTGACAGGTGCAGGGGAAAGGCTTATACAAACGTGGGTACAGCAGCTCCTCAGTCACTCCTAGGGCTGTGCCAGAATGGCTTCTGACTTTCAAATTCTGATTCAAAGACCTGCTCCTCTTTGCACCACCCCCTATCCTAGGGCCATCGGTGATTTGCACCACACACACGTTCCTCTGCTCTGGGCTTTGTCCATATCTTCATTATAAAAGCCTTTGGGAGGGCCACTGATTTTACACCATACTCCAAAATCAAAGAAATGAATAAGTGGGGCAGTGTTGTGGCATAGTGGGTGGGGCCGCAGCCTGCAGTGCGGGCATCTCATGTGGGCACTGGTTCAAGTCCTGGCTGCTCCACTTCCGATCCGGATCTCTTCTATGGCCTGGGAAGGCAGTAGAGGAAGGCCAGGTCCTTGGGCCCCTGCACCCACGTGGGAGACCCAGAGGAAGCTCCTGGCTCCTGGATTCGGATCAGCACAGCTCCGGCCATTGCGGCCAATTGGGGAGTAAACCAGTGGATGGAAGACCTCTCTCTCTCTGTAACTCTTTCAAATAAATAAGTTTTTTTTTTTGTTTTGTTTTGTTTTTTTTTTTAGAATAAAGATTTGAACAAGCACAGAACTTGCCCTCCAAAAATCCACTGCACAGGGGTGCAGCCAACCTCGAAACAAAAGAACAATGGAAAGAGCTCCATGGGGCTATAAAAGGTATTATGAGAACCAGAAGTGGGTGCTAATTCTCCTTGCAGTCTGGGAAGCCTTCCTGGAGGAGGTGATTCCTGAGCTATCAAATGGTGTTTTCTCTACATTGCTTTGTTATTCCATTTGTCCACAATCTCCTCCAGGGCACCCTTGTGTCCCCAAGCCTGCCACAGCACAGACATATTCAGCGTATGTCTTCTGAGTGGCTGGTTGGTAGTGTTGACAGTTCCAATCACACTGAAGGGAACAAGCTTTGTGCTAAGTCATCAACCTGGCATTGAGCCTGGGCTGCGCTCCTGCAAATCGAGGGGACAACTGAAGGCAGCTCATTAGAGGCAGGACACGCAGCACCTGGAGGCAGTTCAGGACTCGGTGTCTAGAGCAGAAGCCTTCCGAGGAAGGCGACAGGCAGCAGGGCTTCTGAGGACCACATCACCAATTTTGTGCTCCTGTCTCAGCCAGAGATCCCCTAACCAGTGAAGAGGGCTCAGGTTGTGCATGGCCTTGGGTCGGGGAACTTGACACATTTCGGTCATTCCCCGGCTATGGTGCCAACGATCTCAGATCCTGGCTGAGTGGCTGTTCGGGATCTGCTCTGTCTCTGGAAAGAAGCCACTTCCAATACTGGAGTCCTGTGGGCTCCAGGTGAGGTTCTCGTTACCAGGCTTCTAAGGCAGTGAGATAAATGCAGGAGAGCGGGGTGGGTAGGCCAGGGCCAAAGCTTTGTCACCAACAAAGGGTATGAAGCTGCATCTTTGACTTCAGTCACCCCACCTATTTCTCTGGAGTCCTTTCTGCTCTGTTTCTTCTTCTTCTTCTTCTTCTTCTTCTTTTTTTTTTTTTTTTTTTTTTTTGACAGGCACAGTTAGACAGTGAGAGAGCGAGCCAGAGAGAAAGGTCTTCCTTCCATTGGTTCACCCCCCAAATGGCTGCTATGGCGTGCTGCGCTGATCCGAAGCCAGGAGCCAGGTGCTTCCTCCTGGTCTCCCATGCAGGTGCAGGACCCAAGCACTTGGGCCATCCTCCACTGCTCTCCTGGGCCACAGCAGAGAGCTGGACTGGAAGAGGAGCAA